ATTTTCCTGCATGGTATGGCTGACACATTGTCATTGGCAGCTAGGAACTCAAGGCAAGTCACAAACACGGAGTTTACACCTTCTGGGTACAAACAGATAATACATACTGACATATTTTTAATCTATAAAAGTGGCAAGTTTTTTACATGACTTATTGTACATTGACATGGTTGTCCTTGACTTGACGTTATCTTCATTTTATCAATTTAAATTTCTGACCTAGATCCTATATTTATTAAAACAGTGAGTGACTTGAGAAGAAGAAGTTTTAACACCAAACAAAACTGTATTTTGGCCCATATGTTTGTACTCAGTAAAAACATTATCTGATATATATTGTATTTCAGTGTTTCTGTACATATCTCTTTAATCTTTAATCTGTTTGCTCAGATCAGAGATCTCAAAAGCTATGTTCACATGGCACCATCACAGTTTTAAACTTGAAGTTTTCGTGGCACTCAAAGAACAGCTGCTCAAAGGTTTACACTACATGTACAAGTCATGCAGACAAGAAGTTGTTGATTAAACTACAATTAACCTGGCAAAACCTCAAAGAGTAAAACAAGTTAGAGCAGTAACAAACCTACAGAATAAACTATTAGAATAAACTGAAATTCCAAATGTTTCAGTACGTACATTGATAAAGCTGACCTACATGTTATAATCAATAAGATATTAAAACCACAAGCTAAACAGAAAGTTTATAGATTCTTGTGTGAACTTAGCTAAGGTCAGGGGGCCGTTTCTCGAAACCAACTCCATGACAGTCATATCTTTGTCGGCGACCTACGGAGATGTCATGAAGCGGATAAACCGTTTCACAAAGCCATGACAGACATGATATCGATATATCGCGATACTAGCAGCTCAAGAACATAGTCTTTGTCACGATCCATTTGATTTATCAAGAATAACCCAAAATAAGTTTTGGGGCTAAAATTGTTCAAAAAGAAATATATACATATAAATTCTCCTAAAATAAATAATAAATAGTGTCATTATCATATTTACATCATCAAACGATTTGCATATTTCTGTAAAGATTCTTAAATTGAAGAAAAACCGGTGAGTGTTTTTTTTTTGACAGTCGAATCAAAAGTTAGTTGAAGGATACCGTAATGTGATAGTTTATCAATACATACTTTTTTGTTTATTGTGACGAGGAATTTTAGGCAAAATGTCTTTTCTCAGCCAGTTTTATTCTAGAGTCTCATAAATACTCGTTATATAATGATTTGATATTGAAAATATAATTTGGAAGAAGTAAATAGAGAGGGAAAAATAATGCACATAGGCCCCAAAGGTATGACGGTATCCTAAGAAATTACTATGGATCGACAATGGAAAACGGCCGGTGTGTAACATTCTTACCTCTCTTATTTACATGTTATAGTTTAATGATTTGTGATTTAATGTTTATATTAAGCTTTTTAAAGTTTCTGTATAATTTGTATACTTTTGTACATTTGCATTTCGCATCCCAGAGAATTACGTACTGAACTCGTCTATATTTTTCTCAAAATGATAGTGAAACTAATCGTCCATTTCGCGGCCCATGGAATGGCAACAAACTGACTTGTGATGGCACTTTACAGCAATTAAAAAGATATGACAGGTTCGGAGCAGTGACAACTCGCTTGTCGCGGAAGTTGTCGCTCATCTTGGCAAAGACGGCTTCGTGAAACACTAAGCTGACAAGTTGCGCGACAGTGGCGAGATGTCGTTGATCTTGTAGTTATGACGGTTTCGAGAAACGGCCCCCAGATCACACACACACAAAAGAATAAAACAAGTAAGAACTGTACTTAACAAACCTACAAAATAAACTGAACTTCCAAGTGATTCAGTACTGTACATTGTTGTAGCTGACCTTCATGTTATAATCAATAAGATATTAAGATTAAAACCACAAACTAAATACAAATGTAATAGATTCTTGTGTGAACTTAGCTATAAAGGTCAGATTAATACACACAAAAAAGAGTAAAACAAGTAAGAACAGTAACAAACCTACAGAATAAACTGAACTTCCAAGTGATTCAGTACTGTACATTCTTCCATGTATAGCTCACCAACAAAATAAATTGAATTTCAAAGTGATTCAGTATACTGTACATTATTATGGCTGACTATAAGTAATACAGTACGTACATGTTATAATTAAACAATAACAAGATCCCACAAAAGTACAGGTACACGGTGTTTATTCATCTTTTCTTTATCCTTGAATACCAGTACCTTCTCTATAAACATCTCTTATCAGTGGTCATTGTTTCCAACTAAGTACAGGGGCCTGCATCCTGTATTTCTTATAACAATGGCTCTATCAAAGTCAATTGCTTATTTCCTCTTCCTGGTCCTTCTATTAATGTCGGTTCTTGTTAGACCTGGGGGGTGTTTCACAACGATTCTACGTCAAACTTAACTCTAAGTTGGACTTAAACATTATGGAGAGCCATTTGTAGCCTAATATATGAAATATATTCAAAAGCAAAAATTGAAGTATTTTAGACTTTTCATAAATTCCACATCAAGAACATGAAATCTTCCATGATACAGGGGTGATAGTGAGCACTAAATTTTCCATTTTTTTTCTCAACCATGCACCCACCCCTTGAGTAAAAAAAAAAAAAGGATTCAGGGGAAAAAAAATAGTATCAAACAATATTCTCCCCTCTTGAGTAAGAAAATTGGGGAAAATAGGGGAAAATAGGGAAAATAAGGGGAAAATCAGGAAAATCAGGTTAAAATAGGAAAAAAAAGAAATTGGGGGAAAAAAGGAGAAAAAAAAGAGAAAAAAAAAAATCTGGAAAAAAATAAATAAATCGGGAAACCGATTTATATCGGGTAATTATTAGGCCTGATAATAATAGAATATGTGAATGATTTGAATCAATATTTTATGCCTTTTAAAATTACTTTTACAAAATATTTTCAAGGATGCTAATGGCTTTCCAACTTGGAGATAAGTTCAACTTAGGATCTTTGTGAAACACCCCCCAGGAATTATAGTTAGACCAATGATTGAAACTTTGACATCGTGCCAATTAAGTCCTCTCTAATTCACAGCTGTTGATACATGAGGTGAAAATCACTAACTAAGGATTATCAGTTCTCAACGTTCATCAGATGCGGGAACAGGAAGTGGCAAAAAAAATTAGAATCCTTTTGCATCAATCTTAACGCAGACAAATGGGCACCAATTAAGGCTTCGTGATATTGATTATTGATATCATATTTCATATTATCACCAAGCCCTTCAGGCTAGCTAGCTAGGTCACCCTCACTCCTACAACGCATGAGGTCTAACTGTAAACGGCAAGGGTCAGCTGAGATATCCTGTAGATTTTGATGTAAACTGGGGTGGTGAGGGAATTCCCCATAACAGACAGTTATTTCTGTCTACATAACACTCACCATTTCCAAACGACAAATGAAGTCCTAAGGTACAGATCTACGGTAGGTATAGCTCACTTTCTCTCTCTCTCACACATTTAAATCACAGTCTACAAGCTGATATAAATTTATAGAAGTTAGAAATAAACTTCTTTGTGCACCACAGGACATCCCAGCAACAAGCAGGGAGGCAGACAGCCCACAACGTCATTAGACCAACAGCCCAGAGGTCCATCATTTGTATTTAAATTACTCAACTTCAAAATATTATGATGGGGGAGGGAGGGGGGAGGGGTTTGTTGGGACACCAAACATAAAGGATTCATTTTTGCCTTCACATTTAATGGAAAATATGCATTAACCATTATGAATATATGTCATTTATAATGATAATTTGTCCACAAAAAAATCTTAGAAAATTTATGATATAGAACTTCTTTAAATTGCTGTGTTAAATCAACTGTCCAGTTAAACAACCTATTTTGGACACACAACGTCTGGGTAGACCTTTATCTTAAAATCTGATGTGCAAACAGAATGAATGAGTTTGAATGCATAACATTTATTAGGGCATATTTTTTCAATGCCAAAGTGATGTGGCACTGCCCTCATCCCACGGCCTACTAGTACTGGCATCTCTCTTTCTTGTTAAAATTAATTAAATGACAATGAATGACAAATAAATATATTCTGTTCTAGTTCTACTTCTAGTACTAGTACTAGACTCTAGGTCTACTACAATATTGGCACTGAATGTGTTACTCTGTAGTAGATTATAAGTAACAAGATGATCATGACTTATCGATGCAGAAGAAAAGTAAAAGTGGTCAAGCTAACCTGGGCTACATGTAATAGTAAGCAAATATTAATCGACTACGAGGGTAATGGTGCAAACTATCATCGCCGAGGTGATCTCGGGGCTACTATCATCCCGAGCCGCAAGGCAAGGGATGATGGTAGCCCCGAGATCACCTCCGCGATGATAATTTGTATCCATTGCCCGAGTAAAGGAGGTTAAATATTTGTTTTATATCCCACATCTGCAATAAGGTCTAGATCTATTTAAAGTGAATTTTACATAATAATAATTTTTATTCTGCAGACAGTTTAGCTTCAGCTAGATTTTACATAGCGCAACATGCATACAGTCATGTAATACAGTCGATGCGCGCTCATTTGACATTGACATTGACTTTGATATTTCGCGTAACCTACTTTGCTTTGCGTATTCAATGGGCAAGGGTGGGCAAGGGTGGGGAAGTGGGGTAGCAGCAAAAAATTACTTTACAATAAGTACTATCTCAGGTAGATAGTACTTATCTATACCTTTTTCGTGCTCTGTACAATCGCAATGCGAACAACTATACATGAGGGATATAATACGCGTTGTCACCGGTTCCAGAGATAAAACTTCGCCTGAACCCCGGGTAGGCAAACTGTTGTTGGTGCCTCCTCGATCTCGCTCGAATCCTAATCAACGTTAATTTGTCAATCTTGCTGGTGTGCCTCCTGTTGGTACCGTCGTCTTTTCGGCGATGGTCATAAATTCATTCAGCATGCAGCAGCTAGCATTGACAATGACAAGAAAAAAGAAAACTACTTACGAATCGCGCCTCGAGCTCTGAATCTATTGTCTTGTGACTCGTAACGCCGGGTATAATTTGTTTCCGCTGTGCTGCTAGCTAGCATATTAGCACTATAGCACTGCGTACATCACGATCACTCGACCTCGACCATTCGTCGATGTTGTCGTTTTTGTTTACAAATTCTACTCGTAGTCTTCGCACCGTACCGTTCTGCATCGAGTGCTAGGCTACATACATTGTACGTACATTGTACGTAACTTAACTTTCAACCAATCAAAATCACGCATGAGTTGGACAAGGCCAAGGGTCTGGGCAAGAAGGGTCAGATGCCGTCAGCAATCTGCAAATTGCCGTTTTGTTTTCTATTTAGATGTTCGGGAATTTTTAGGGGGCTAATAAACTTATCTGACTTCTCAAGGGTGCCAAACAGTTTCTCAAAAGCCCTAGAAAATGTAGATCTATATGTTTGTGTGTGTGTGTGTGTGGGGGGGGGGCACAGCTTGGTGGGGGTGCCACCCCACTCTTTAAGGGCCCTAATTAGTGTTAAAATAGTAATTACAATGCATGGCAGGGTAAAAATCAAGCCAGGTTTATGATGTTGCATATAAACAGTTTCGATTTTTTGCAGAAAATATAGATATTTACTTAATTTATTACTTTTTCTTCTTTTTTTTATTTTGGAAATTATGTCAAGTTTGGTAGGATTTCCCATTTAAAATAGTCTGGTGATGACCCTAAAAATGCTGCATGGCTCAATTTGTCTTACAATATCCTAGATATGTAGAAATGAAAAAAAATTGAGGTCTGCGCCTTTAGACTATGATTGGGGGCGTGACTGCAATGGAGGCGTGACTAACTGATTTTAACAAAGTGTGTTCACCTCAAAGAGTACATACGGTACTTTACTCTACACAAGTCATGTGCAGCTGTCAGTATCTATAGTCCTTTAATATTGTATTACTTTTATAATATACTTTATTCTCTGACAAGTAATAACAGGGTGCGTTAGTACAAGATGCTTTTTAGTCTAAAATTATTTGATAGGAAAGCAAGAACAAAACTTGAAGGAAAAAAGTTATCTCACTTTTCAGGTAACATTGGGTCAATAATTGCTGCAAGTGCATTTTGTATACAGGTTGTTGAGCCCCCATTGCACAAAACTTACCATTGATGGTAACTTTGCCATCGATGGTAACTACCATGGAAACCTTGATTTTGATTGGCTGTTGAGCCCTGCAATGTTACCATGGTAGTTGGTTGTATGCAACGGGCCCTGACCTAGCGCTCACATTTCATTTTTAGAAATAACCTCTTTTTTCTCTTTAAGACAATTTTATAGAACTTTTTTTTTAATTGTAATCTGTAAGGGTAAATTTTAGTTTCAAGTTATTCTTTTTTGAATCCCCCCCCCCCCCCCCCCCCCCCCCCCCCGGGGCCATCTATTCTCTCTATCTCTCTCCACCTTTCTCCCCCACTCTCTCTCTCTCTCCACCTTTCTCCTCACCGGCTCTATCTCTCCCTCTCTCTTTCTCTAAAAGTTCATATTCTTTCTAAGTATATTGCACTTTTGCAATATTTCCATCTCATTGGGAGTAAAAAATAAAATACAACCATGTTAAAAGCTAGAAATGCGTATGTACTGCTATTGATGATTCATTGTTGCACCGCCATCCCCCCCCCCCCCCAAAAAAAAAAAAAACTCAAGAAAACCTATACCAGAAGTTTACCAACTACCAAGATATATGTACCTTCAAAGACATTACCATAGCTTAAATAAAGACAAATATCATTGAAATGATTAAGGTTAGTTTTATTCATGTACTTATAAAACTAGATAATACACAAATTTTATTACTGAATTCACTGCTCATGATCAATATATTAACACAATACTACAAATATCTTTACGGTATCTGATAAAACACAATTGGACGGAGAGCGCTAGTGCATGTTTATTCATTCATTCAATGCCCGAGTAGTTTGTTGACTGCAAACACTTAATAAACAGTTTTATCTATGAAGTTGCGCAGGAAGCAATCAAAACCCACAGCTAGTAGAAAGAGAGAGTTGTGACATTTGCAAGAGCTCTCAAACACAGGTCAAAGTTCATGGAGCTCCCAGTAGTTTCCTCCAATATAAAAGGCAGTAAGGAGAACTGTTGGCACATGGCCGGCCAGATATGAAAGTTATGTAATCGTTATTTATTTATGAAACAATGGTATATTCTATGAAAATAAGTTTTTTATTTAAAAAGGCAAATAAAAAGATATTCACGAAGCAAACTCCTTCACTAGCAGTGATTATTGTAAAGTGCACGTTTAAAAGATCTGTGGATATTGGGGGGGGGGGGGGTCATTTGCAAGTGTGCTATCTACGAAAGTGGTCTATACAGAGATTGTATAACAATCGAGGGAACTGTACAAGCTCTCTTTTGACCTCTGATGGTGCAAGCATGTGTGTCAGTCACAACTATCCTCCTCTATACTAGCTATGCTATTAATCTTACTTCAAATCACTGATCAGGTCTTCGCATCGGGTTGGGTGGTCGCGTTACGTGACCATTTGTGAAAACATACTTGTTCATTCACGAAATGTCGGGGATAATGTTTGTGAGAATAAAACACTCTCATCTACAATAAGTCTGGTCAAATTTATGTGACATTTTGTGAAAACCCTACGGCAAATCTATGAAAGGTCATGAGATGCATCTTCACACGATCTTCCGCTTACAATCTACGAAAAGTTGTGTCACAACGGGATCACCTGACCGGACGTGATGACCTACCGATTCATGTTACTACATGAACAGCGCCTCCAAAAGCAGGTCTGACATCCAACATTTCCTCATGGTTTGCGGTACCAAAAATAGTTATTCATTCATTCAAAAACTATGCTTTGACATGAGGAGCAACAAGTTAACTCAAGAGATAAAAATAGATATTAATTTATTGATTAAAAAACTCTGCTTATGAGGAGCCACTTGCTTGTAAAGGATAAACCCAATATTGATCTTTTGACATCAGAGTTCAGCTGAGGTCAAAACACTGAATTATAAAAAATCTTTTCAAATCTATCCCTTACAATGGCCATTTGCTTACTCTATATTAAAATCAATTTTTAACATCTGAGTTCGGAAAAGAACAAAATACCACATATTCATAATCTTGTTAATTCATTCTTTAAAAAAGAAACAACAAAAGTTGAACGTAAAACGGGAGGGTAAAAAATACAACATGTCCAAATTTGTTAATGCCTCATTCAGCTACGTCTACATTTACAGATACGCAAAAGTATTGCACAGGATTAAACAACACTATTAAAAAAGTAAACTATATAACAAAAAATCCAGTTTATCTTCAAAGATTAAACTTTGTACTTCATAGCACAAAACTTAAAAGCAAACCAAAAAACTTACGCGAAAAATAATGCTCTGTCTGTCTTTGAAAACACTACTCTGAACATATAAAGTACCCATGAAAAAGCATCAGTTTTGTGCATATGTGATGCCTATATGTGGACAGGAAAAGAGAAAGAAAAGGATTATACATATGAATGAGGGCATTCCGTTCAGAAAGTTGGGCCTTCTTTTCAAAACAAGAATATCTGTTTTCCACTTCTTTTCATGACCCCTGCTTCACAGGAGGCCATAATCCTACATACCATTTGTGCATCAAATGATCTATTCCTTTCAACTGAATGCATGCTACAAAGACTGGTGAACAATGCTGATTTGAGAATGGCTGCACACACAGACTCGCTACAATGACATGCAAAACCAGATGTCTATTGGAAATGTCGCATTGGGAAACTGTACATTATTCTTGCTTTATGCCTCCCTCATACACTTTGGTGGGGAATCTTGTTGATGGGAAAGAAAACAATAAATCTCTCAGAATAACTTAAGTTATTCCTTGGGATGAGATTTCTTTTAACAAAATAAGTCAATCTGAGGTCTAAATTTGCCCTCTATTAAACATGATTCTAGACCCAGCATTACAGTTAACTGAATCAGGAGACTGAATATGGACCATTGAGTTCGACTTTGGTTATAATTCATATCATTATCATTATTTTAAAACTTATAGTATTCATCTTGTTTGTTTAAATACAAGTATATTACATGTGAGTTACCATTCAAAGAGGAGGAAACTCATTCAGTGAATACATACAATATGCACACAGTTTGATCATAATAACATAATAGATTAAGCAAAACCAAGATACTTTACATTTATACTGACATAAAAAGCATTGTTACACAATAGTAGGCCTACATATCAAATGAAATTAAACTAAGGTTTGACTCATAGACTCCATATCTACCCGATAACTTACTTAACATATCTAATTAAAGTCCAATAATAAAACTCAAAATGTAAACAATATAAAATTACCACACTCTCAACAAGAAATATTTCATAGAAGGTAAACTGCAGAGTCACTTGATTGATTGACAGATAGGCAGTTTAAAATCTTTGTGCATTTACTGGTCTTGGAAAAATAAAACAAAACAAAACATACAAAATCAACTAGAGAATAAAAAGACTTTTGTGGCTCATTATAGGTCATACATGTATGGCTACTTACTAATTATTCCAAATATTTCTGTAAATCTTGTTGTCAAGGATGCTCAAGACTTGACCTGATGATTAAAATATGGTTTCGATTACACATATTTTCTAAAGGCTCAGACGAAAGACAACTTGAGCTAACTAATCAAAAGGTTAATAACAAAGAAGAAAAAAAACGCCATGCAACAAAAAGTGCATTACTGCATATCATTTTATACCATCCATTGATTATTAAGACAACAGACAACAAATTAATATTGTAAAATAGATTAATCTCTCTGAAAATTAAGTAAAAAATGGGAAAAGCTACTCCAATTTGGATTAGCGATATATCATACTTTGCTCAATCTCAACTGCAGCACACATACATTTGTATATATATCTGTTTACAACTATTGAATAATAACATTTCAAAGTAACCAAATATACAAAAATAGAATTGAATACCGTACATGTACATGTCGAATCATACACTTTCCAAAGAATCTTTTCTATCAGCAATGATGCAAAGACACAAGCATAATC